TTAATTTTCATGAGAACTACTTAAAAGGCAAGATTAAAAAAATAACAAGAAGTAATGCTAAACAGTCATAGAAAAAATTGAGAGAAAAAAGAAATTGAACAGCAATGAAATACTACCAAAATCAAGACCAAAAAGGAAAAAAAAGAAAGAAAGAAAGAAAGAACTCGATATAATCACGATATTAATCAGATCGCCCACTAAAATGCTAATTTTCTGGAGTATTTGCGGTTGAAAGAGCAAGAAAACTTACAATTTCATTATTTTTTTTTTTTTTCAGGAAAAAACAAAGATGAAGTGACAAACAGATAAAAATTTTGCAAAGCAACCTGAAAAACGATCGAATAAGCAAAACCATAAAAAGCAATAAAAATCACTTCTACTAATTACACCTCAATCCTAATTGCAAGAAGCAAGAATGGAGCAAATGCAGAAGCGATCATTTGGAATTTCAAGAAGCAACACATAGAATCGGAAAGAAATAAGAAGTACCAATGACGAAGGGCTGCCTGGGAGCGTTGGCGTCGGCGAAGGCGGCGGGAGCGGAGTTGGCTGTGGGAGAGCGAAGGCCAGAGAAGTGCGGTCCCGAGGCCTTCTCCATCACGTAATCGATCGGCGTCGTCTCCTCCGGCATCTTTAGAGAGCTTTCCCTCTAATTTTCCCATCTTAATATTCCTCTCGCGCATTTTTTTTCCCCGTCCGATTGGAAGTGGGGCCATTGTAATTTAGGCGCAGATTGATCAGAGAGGGAACAGCGGTTGCGTTAGGATTTTGAGGTAGAGAGGTTGAAAGAGGAGAGGCTACGGAGCACAATGCAGGGGGTTCACACGTGGCAGGTGATGACTGGCGAAGGTAGGCTACCATGGAGGACGCACGACGCATCTGCGCTGCGCTCGATGGCTGCCGGAGGTGCACTACAACGCCGCTGCTTGGCGGGAATGGATAAACACGAAACTGTTCATTCATTCCCTTGAAATATCTCAACTTTTCACTGTCATCAACACCAGGCCAGGTCGGTTACACCGGGACCCGACCCGAAATATGACCCGTCTCAGAAATTTTACGTTTTTCCATTTTTGCCCGGGAAAGGCCGCCATGAATAAAAAACAGCAGCCTTGCTTGAATTATACAAAGAATGATACATAATTTAATTAATCAAGTGGGATAGAGAAGTCTACATCTTGCCTCGTTTTGAGCGCTAGAAAACTTCTTGGTGCTTTCTAGTTGTCAGAAAAGTCGCTTCCTTTTTAATGCACAAGAAAGAAACTGGATAAATAGTGCCTAGAAAATGATGGGTCGTTGCATTTTTTTGTAGAAAGCTGTGGGTCTCACCAACAATGGTTGAGTACCAAGATATTGACTTGAGGATCGGAGGTACAACTTATTTGCTATATATAGCATAATATATTTGAATGCATTCTTCATTGAGATTCTTCCTTCTATTAGCACATATGGAAGGCACCATTACTTCTTTCTGGGTTCTTTTGCTTGTTCTGATTCTCTCCT